GTGAGAGTAATGATGGATATACTGGAATGCAGGGAATTTAGTAATACTCTGAGGTCATCATAATGTTTACTTAAAGATCTGATATTGTAGTTAAAGACAGTTATGTTTTTGTTGGCTCTGAGAAGTGCATTTGATTGTTCTGCTGTGTAGTAATTACAGTTACTGTTTGATTCATTTAAGTCATTCAATAAGAGGTTGGTATCAGTATCAATGCTTGTTATCATAAGATTTATAGTGAATCTATAGTTAGAATTAAGTATAAGTATATTCTAAAGCTATAAATAGCACCTGAGTTATTTTAACAAATGTAAGAAATTTGATCTAAGGTAGTTCTTTAAAACTAAAATAAAGGAGACAATATATAAGGGACTAAAAAAAACTGTGGTGAACAAATAAAATGGTAATCAAATAAATGAGCTAGGGAATATAATGGCAAAAATAGTGAATTTATTACACTTTAGCACCTGAGAATAGCACCTTGATTATTTTAACAATTGTGAATATTTGAACTAAGGTTGTTATGTAAAGCTAAAATAAAGGAGAAAAAAATGTAGGGACTAAATTAACCCTTTGAGGGTTTTGGTCGTACTAGTACGTTTTACACGTAGGGGTTTTTGACGTACTAGTACTCATAAATTCTAGCGGCCTCAAATCTAGTGGGAGAAAGCTGGTAGGCCTTCATATGAAAGAATGGGTCTATGTGGTCAGTGTGCACAGTCTAAAAAAAATCCTGCAGCACACAGTGCATAATGAGAAAAAAAAAACTTTGACCATTTTTTTTTAATAAATCAGCGACTTTGCAGTGTATTTTCGTATGGTATTTATTGTTGTATTCTAGTTTTCTTGGTCTCATTTTATAGAATGGAAGACATATTACAGAAATTGAGATGATTTTGACTGGTTTTACAATGAAAGGTGCCTTGAAATTGAGCTCAAAGTAGCAGAAATGTTCGATTTTTACCAAACTTCAAAAGTAAACAAATCGTGCCAAGCGTGCAATACACGTCAACTGATGAGTTTAATATTCTTATACAAGTGCACCAATAATATTTATACCATTTTTTACACTAATGCAGTAGTCTGCATAACAGTAAATCTTATATTTTTTGTGAGAATAAAAATTCAAAGTGGAAAGCAAAAGAATATAAGAGGGGCCTTGAGACGTGACTAATGACTAGAGGAAATGTCATTTTAGTGCCAGGAATGTCTTTCTTGTTTATTCTGGACCCTATTCGGAAATTGGCATCTTTTGAAATTTGTGTGAAATTGGCAAAATTGCTAAATTCTGACCACTGTTCTGGATAGTTGAATTTATAAATGGGTGGTTTCTTGCACCCATTCGATAGAAACAATGGAGTTCTAGCGAAATATTCATGTTTTTTGTCGACTAGTACAGTGAAATTGGCCGAAAATGGGGCTCAAAGTGGGCAAAATCGCCGATGTGTAAACATTGCCGAGACCGCTAACTTTGCGAGAGCATAATTCCGTAAGTTTTCTATCAAATTTCAAACTTTTGGTGTCTTTATGACCGGGAAAAGATTCTCTATCTTTTCATATGAGAAAATAATTTTTTTTTTTTTTTAAATTTGGCCGACCCTGAGAACGAGTTTCGGAGAGGGCCTGTCGACCCTCAAAGGGTTAAATATGTAATGGTAAACAAAGTTAAATTGGCAGATAGTAATTAAGATATGATATTGATTTGGGAGTAAGATCTGATTTGTTATATATAATAAGTTGAGCAATTTATTGTACTATAAAAAGTAAAAAATAATATGAGGTAGTTGGTAGTAGCTAGCAAAAGATAGTTTTGGGCCTTGAACAATAATGTAATTGAAATATACACTAATTGCACACACAATATAGTCACTAAGATATGAAAATAATCTGAGAGTATGAATTGTCTAATAGCATAAAGTTTGAGCAATTAATATCACTATAGGAATATTATTTGAGGTAGTTGAAACTAGCTAGTGAGGGATGGTTCAAGGTATTGCACAGTAGTGTAGTAGGAACATACACTAGTTTGTTATTTGTAGTTTGAGAGAAAAGGGAAAATTAGGTATGATTATAAGAGAATTTTAACAGTGCTTAAGTAGGAAAGAAAAAGGTAATGCAGATATTATTAAAGAGTAAGTATCCTATTAACAAAAAATAAATTGTGAATTGGGAATCTGGGAAGATAACACAAATTGGGTCGCACAAAGAACTGTGTGGGACACCTGGGATAATGAGGTAGTAAATACTATCTAGGAGGTGATAGTACAGGGATCAGTTCAATAATGGCATAATAACATACACTAACGTAGTAAGGATTTGGTCACTAATATTAGTCAGACTCTGTAATGTTTGCATCATGAAGGAAGTTTGTTAGTTCATTTTCATTTGTAATGTAGTACACACGGCCTACATTAGTTTTTCTTACTAGAATTTGACCATCACGTACAAAGCACTGGTGAATTTTAGCATTATTCTCTCATTTTAGCTTTCTCACTCTGTACAGGAGGTTCTGTCGTTTTTTTGTGAGACACTCGTTTATGTATATATCTTTTTTTGCTTTGATAGATGAAATTATTAGATCTTTTTTCCTGTCTTGTGTGTGAAATCTGAGCATAACACTTTTTCTACTTTGGTTCCCTAGTAACTGCGACTTTTTTATTTCTGACACTGGTACATTAACATGTAGGTGGTCACGTATGATCTGGAGAGTTGTATCTTTGCAGTTTGTATGGTTTAATTCGCTGGGAAAGAGTGGAGTGTTAATTATTACTGCATCAGATAACTTGTCTTGCTCTGTCTTGTCATCTTGGTTAGCAAAATAATTGTTCAATTGGGTATCCATGTTTGCTTTCCAGTCCTTGATGGCATTATCAATCTTCATGTTTAGGGAAGTGATTTGACCTGTGTGGCTGGCTATGACTGATTGGAAGGTCTTGCCAAAATCAGTCATGCCAGATGATGTTAGCTGTTGTTCAAGGTTGTTGATCTTGTTCTCAAGGTGAAGTAACTTAGATTCATGGTTTGTTATTGTTGCATGAAGAGACATATTTTCAGCATGAAGGTTCGAGTCAACAGTTCGAGTCAATAGTGAAAAGCAATGTCTGAACTTTTGTAGAAAGATAACTAGTGAGTGTGTTTGATGGAATCAATTTGTTTCTAGTTTGGATCACTCTACTTTACTGGGAAATAACTGATGAGCTAAGAAAATTGTTCAAACATTCCACTATACTTTAACTGAATTACCAAAATGTTGTAATAATATCATATGAGGAAGGAATAACTACAAGGGACCCGACCAGCCATCCTCAAGTGTCTGAAGCAATGTGTTAGTTCAGCACTACTGAACAATACACTACTACTAACCAAATCTGCAAAGAGAATTTCACAACATTGTGAAAGAGACCTGAAGGTCATATATCCATCACTCCCATCTATGAATCACACCCATCTATAATATAAAAATTTCACCATAATATAAAATCAATAAATTGTATAAGAAGTACAGTTCAACATACACAATCTTTAATTAGATCTATTTATCTACTAATGAGTTATGTGTAATGCAGCCTCTCCTTACTTAGCAATGTACGTTTACAGATGACTCAGACTTACGACAGGCTCTCTGAACAGTATGCATACCTAAATAATGTATATTAGAACTGATTTCCTCTATTCTGTTTATTACAATATACAGTATGTTGCTGTATAAGCATTTAAAAATACAGCGGTCCCTCGTTTTTTGTAGTTCTCGGGAATCATAGATTTCGGAAATCATAGGGATATTTTCGTATAAACATGGGCTCGCTAATCATAGGTTGACTCGCGAATAGTAGTTTGTCCGGGATGCATACACACGGTGTGAGCCGGGGCAGCCTCCCTACCCAGCCAGTCTGGCATTGTTTACCAGTGAGCAAAGGTCCCCTCATGTGCTCCTACAAAATATTTCATAATATTCCACTCATTTTAGTGCTTGCAAGTACTAAATAAGCTACCATGGCTCCAAAGAAATCTCCTAGTGCCAAGCCTGTGGTAAAGAAGGTGAGAAATACGATTGAATTTAAGAAAAACATCACTGAACAATATGAAAGTGGCACAAGTGGAAAGATTTATGGAGAAACATCACCCTGACAAGGTTGTTGCAAGCCATGTTGGCAACATGTACAGTGACAAAGTCTTGGGCTATTTTAGGGAAGTGTTAGAGATGCCAGAAACAGAGCTCTCTCCACAGTTATTTTGCGAGACAGGACTCCAGTGACTCTCAAGGTGGTCCTAGTGGCATTAAGAAACAGAGAAGAGAAGCAACCCCAGAAAAGCAATTGGTACCTGAGGTGTTGCTGGAAGGGGATTCCCCTTCCAAACTGGAAACAATCCAATCTCTCTCCTCCTCCAGTCTCCCATACACTAAGAAGAATCTCCAATAAAGGTAAGTGTTATGCTGTTAATGTTTCATTCATCATTTCCCATTGTATTGTTTATGTACTACATCTATATTTCATGTAAAAAAATTTTTTGTTTTAATACTTCTGGGTGTCAGGAACGGATTAATTGTATTTACATTATTTCTTATGGGGAAAATTGATTCAAAAATCGTAGATTTCGATAATGGTAGCAACTCCAGGAACGGATTAACTACGAAAAACGAGGGACCACTGTATACCAGAATGTTATAAATGGTGCAAAGGTGACATTAAAACAATATCAAAGATGGCTGACACAAACCCACTACCATTATAGTATGGGCCATATGTTAGGTTGTGTGAAGCCATCAGTAACAGCCTGGCTGATCAGGCCTTGATCCACCAGGAGGCCTGATTTGGGACCAGACCACAAAGGCAGTGACACCAAGAGACATCCTCTGGGTAACATATTGTAAAGCTTGTCAAAAAAACCTGCCAAAAGTGTAATGTGTTTAGTGAAAAAAAAATGTGTTTAGGAGTGTGTGCTCATAGTGTTACATGCATGATACTATGAGATTAAAATTTATAACAATTTAGCAAAATTACCAAAAGCTGATTTTCATATTTCTCATGTGACTTTCCACCAGCAAAGTAGAGGACTCCATCAAGGAATGCAGCTGCTGCCCCATGGACAGGTGCTGGTAAGTCACATAATTGATGCCAGGTGTTAGTAAGTACCCTGTAGCACTCACACGAAGCAAGAAATGTGCTGTTTGTCTGACCACCTGTAATGAAATAACCTTATGTAAAAATGCTTAATAACAATAAGATGCCAGACTCTGTTTATTCAGCTCAAGAAAGTAATACCTAATGGGCCTTGAATGATTTATAAAAAGCACTTGGCACTGTAGAATAAAATATCTTGCTGTTGAAGCTAGAGCATTATGGTATTTAAAGGCATGCTTTCATTTATACAAGTCCTGCTTTGCTGACAGACATCAACTTGATACTACCTCATTAACACAAACTCTCAAAATAAGGGTGCCTCAGGGTAATATCCTTGGCCCACAAGTATTCCTCATCTACATAAAATGACCTCTTGAATGCCTCCCAGGAACTTACACCAGTTCTGTTTATAGATGACACAACATTTCATATCTAGCTCAAATCTTATTGTCTTCAACAACATAGTGAATGAGGAGCATGTAAAGATTTCTATCTGCATGGTAACCAATAAACTTACTCATAATACTGACAAGACCCTCTATACAGTGGACCCTCTGCTTACGATATTAATCTGTTCCTGAGAGCTCATCGTTAGATGAAACTATCGTTAAGGAATTTATTTTCTGCATAAGAAATAATGGAAATCCAATTAATCCATTCCAGACAGCTAAAAGTATTAAAAAAAAAAATTTCATGAAATATACATTTCCCTACAAAGAAAACAATGAGACATGCACAATAACTATATAAATCAATGTTAAAATGACACTTACCTTTATTGAAGAGTACTGACGAGTGATGAGACACTGTTTTTCTTGAACACTCTGGGATTTTCAGAGTGATACATGAGTAAAGGCTTCACTTTGCAATCCCCACTAGCATTACAACAAAACATGAGAGTTAGCCTGTCTTTCATAGGCTTGTGTCCTGGGAGTGGCTTTTCCTCCTGAGTAATGTAGGTCCTGTTAGGCATTTTCTTCCAGAACAGGCCTGTTTCGTCACAACTGAACACTTCTTGGGGTTGGAATTTTTCAGCTTCGCCATGCCTTATCACACTGTGTATGCCACTACGATTCTTAACCCTTTGACTGTTTCAGGCCCCTTTCTGAAACTCTCATTCTATGTCGCTCAATTTTTGAAAAAAAAAAAAAATTATTTTTTCTTATGAAATGATAGAGAATCTTTTCCCGATGGTAATGACACTAAAAGTTCGAAATTTGGTCGAAAACTCATGGAATTATGCTCCCGCAAAGTTAGCGGTCTCGGCGACATATGCGTATCGGCGATTTCGCCGACTTTGAGCCCTATTTTCAGCCAATTCCATTGTTCCAATTGACCAAACTCATAGCTATTTCTTTAGAACTCCATTATATCTATCAGCTGAGTACAAGAAACCTCCCATTTACTAATTTGGACTTCCCAATATGGTGGTCAGAAATTGGCAATTTGCCCAATTTCACACAAACTAAAAAAGATGCCAATTTCAAAATAAGGTCCAGAATAAACAAGGTAGACATTCGTGGCACTAAAATAACATAGGCTCTGTTCATTAGTCACATCTCTAGACCCCTCTTTTATTATTATTGCTTTCTATTTTGATTTTTTATTCATACAAAAAAATACAAAATTTACTGTTATGCAGACTACTGCATTATTGTAAAAATGATATAAATAATATCAGTGCACTAGTGAAAGAATATTAGACTCCCCAGTTGATGTGTATTGGACGTGTGGTGTGATTTATTTACTCCTGAACATTGGTAAAAATCGAACATTTCCGCTACTTTGAGCTCAGTTTCAAGGTCGTTTTCATCGTCAAAGTAATGAAAATCATCTCTATTTCTGTAATATGTTTTCCATTTTATCACCTAAGGCCATGAAAACGCGAACACAACGATAAATACTATACGAAAATACACCTCAAAGTCGGCGTTTTATTCCAAAAAAACGATCAGAGTTTTTTTTTTCTCATTACGCAATGTGTGCTGCAGGATTTTTTTTATGTGGTGCACACTGACCACACAGACCCATTCTCTCACATGTGGGCCTACCAGCTTTCTCCTGCTTGATTTGAAGCCTCTAGAATTATTGAGTATACATACGTCAGAGACATTGGCTCGTAAGACGTATTTATACGTCGAAAACAGTCAAAGGGTTAAATCTCTCAAACCAACCTTTGCTGGCCTTAAATTCCCCAATATGAGCACTAGTTATAGGCATTTTTTCCTGTTCAAGCACAATATACAATGAAACTGAAACAATTTTAAGTTTAAAATAAATGATCAAATAGTTGAGCACTCTTAACCCTTTGACTGTTTTGGTCGTATATATACGTCTTACGAGCCACTGTGTTTGACATATATACAGGTCTCCCTCAACATTCACGTTTTCAACTTTCACGGGCTTCACACATTCGCGAATTCCCAACCGCCAAATTCCCAGCCGCCAAATCATATTTAAGTTTCCCACCACCTGCGAGTCCCTACTACCCTCCCTCCGACCCCCGCAACTGGCAGCCAGCCCTCCCACCACTCAGTGTGGTGAGTGTTTTGTTTGTTCATTATTTGCTATTAAACTACAGTATAAATAATGTAAACCCATTCATGACTGCATATTGGAATGGCTATTCGGACAGGTATTAGACAGTGACATCATGTGTTTACTCTTGAACACTGCAAAGAATTAAACATTTCTGCTACAGCTAATAATAACAATAGTAATAATAATAATAATAATAATAATAATAATAATAATAATAATAATATATGATATAATTGAAGAAGGAAATTGTACAAAAATACGAGGGAGTGGTTGACACATCGTCAGTGTGACTTTGTTTATGCTGGAGTGAACATTAGTCTCCCTGCTCTTCCAAACATTTCACAATAATTCATTGTGTTTGGTGCTTGTAGATTGAGTGTGACTGGAGTGGTAGAGGCAGTGATTGAGGCAATGGTATTTAATAACATACATGTTAATAATAATACATGTTATTAATAATATGTACTATTATTATTTATAACATATATGTTATTAAATACATACATGTTAATAATAATACATGTTATTAATAATAACATGTACTATTATTATTTATAACATATATGTTATTAAATACCACTGCCTCAACCGCTGAATTATTGTGAAATGTTTGGAAGAGCAGGGAGACTAATGTTCAGTTCAGCATAAACAAAGTCACACTGACGATGTGTCAACCACTCCCTCGTATTTTTGTACAATTTCCTTCTTCAATTATATCATATTTATTATTATTATTATTATTATTATTATTATTATTATTATTATTACTATTGTTATTATTAGCAATAGCAGAAATGTTCGATTCTTTGCTGTGTTCAAGAATAAACACATGATGTCACCATCTAATACCTTTCCTAATAGCCATTCCAATATGCAGTCATGAATGGGTTTACATTATTTATTCTGTAGTTTAATAGCAAATAATGAACAAACAAAACACTCACCACACTGAGTGGTGGGAGGGCTGACTCCCAGTTGCGGGGGTCGGAGGGAGGGTAGTAGGGACTCGCAGTGGTTGAGGAAGTGGTGGAGTCTGTGGTATTTAATAACATACATGTTATAAAAATACATGTTATTAAATAACATACATTATTAAAGCATAACATGTATATATTTAGTACAATCTACGACGTTTTCATGTATTTTATGATTATTCATGGTTCAACAAGTTAAGGAAGCAGTATTGTAATATATTTCCCTACAATATATTGAGGCACCAAGCATTCACGGTTTTTCAACATTCGTGAGGCTCTTGATCCCCCTAACCCTCGCGAATGTTGAGGGAGACCTGTATACTCAAAAATTCTAGCAGCTTCAAATCAAGCAGGAGAGAGCTGGTAGGCCCACATGTGAGAGAATGGACCTGTGTGGTCAGTGTGCACTGTATAAAAAAAATCCTGCAGCACGCAGTGCATAATGAGAAAAAAAAAAAACTCTTGACCGTTTTTTTGGATTAAAACGCTGACTTTGTGGTGTATTTTCGTATAGTATTTATGGCTGTATTCTCGCTTTCTTGGTCTCATTTGATAGAATGGAAAACATATCATAGAAATAGATTGATTTTATATGAAAAGAACCTTGAAATGGAGCTCAAAGTAGGGGAAATGTTTGATTTTTGCCGACGTTCAAAAGTAAACAAATGATGTCATTGTCCAATAAATGTCCAACAAGCCATTCTAATATGCAGTCATGAATGGACTGACATTATTTATACAATTATTACAATATTGCAGTAGCCTGCATAACAGTAAATCTTCTATTTTTTGTTTGAATAAAAATTTGAAATAGAAAGCAAGAGGGGTCTGGAGACGTGACTTATGAACAAAGAAAATGTTATTTTAGAGCCAGGAATGTCTGCATTGCTCATTCTGGACCCCATTTTGAAATTAGAATATTTTTTAATTTTCGTGAAATTGGCCAAATTGCAAATTTTTGACCACGTTATTGGGTAGTTGAAATCGGTACATGGGCAGTGTCTTGTACTCAATCAATAGAGCAAATGGTGTTCTAAAGAAATAGCTATGAGTTTGGTCGACTGGAACAATGAAATTAGCCAAAAATAGGGCTCAAAGTGGGCGAAATCGCCAATTCGTAAATATTGCCGAGGTCGCTAACTTCGCGAGAGCATAATTCCATAAGTTTTCCATCAAGTTTCGTGTTTTTGGTGTCATTACCATTGGGAAAAGATTCTCTATCATTTCATAAGATTTTTTTTTTTTTTTTTTTTTTTTCAAAAATTCTTCAATACCTTAGAAGACACCTCAGGATTTGAGGTTTCAACAGTCAAGGGGTTAAATATTTAGGAGTTTTTTTGAGCAACTTTTGAGTAACTGGTAGGTATTAAGTAAAGTGTTTGTCTAGTTAATTTTGGGTAATGAGGTTATTTCTATTAAGGCCTTAAACTGATTTGCAGGCAGGGGCCGTTTAATGTGCTCTGGTAATGAATAATTCCAGATCTTTGGGCCCTTTATGTGCATAGCATTTTTGCATAGGGAGAGATGGACACGAGGAATATTGA